AAGTTACGGTAAGTTACCAAGTGTAAATACTTAATTTAGCGTTTCACAATGAAGGTAACAAGGGTCCAAAATGAACACAATCAAGCAATAAACCATAAGGAGCCAAAAGTGGACACAATGCCTCCCAAGTCCTCATATCCATAAAGTAATGTCTGTTAATTATTTTGAATAGCATAGTCCCTCTCTCGGTTCCTGCCTTCCCTCAGCTCGACTTCCCCAACCGGGGATCTGTGTCCGGGCTCAAGTTCACCATATGGCGAGGCCCATTTCCTAGGGGCCTCACACTGGATTATGTTTGAAAACACTGTAACTAAAAGTTTTACATGAAATAATCCCAGGAAATAATCCCATGCACCTATGATGGGACCTAAATCCAGTACGGCAATCTAGGGGAATGGCTGCACCTAGGAACCCATGCTATGTATTTCTTAATAGTATTTGGAGAAAATTTTCAATATTGATGTATTCCATTCTGAGAAAAGTATATTTTGACAAAATCTGTTAAAATAATGTTTTGGAATGATACTGAAAATCTCCATAGCTTCTATAATGTGGACAACATGTGCTGGTTACTCTTTGGTTTCTAGCTTAAAACTTCAAGGTTTCCTGCTATTTGTGGTTCAGATTCTTTCTTACAGGAGGCATGTCTGGTAGATACACACCAATTTCACAAATAAACAAACATAAAGGTAGTTTATGTGTGAGTGCATGTGTGGGTGTACATATATGACACTCCAGACAAGCCATGATTTTCACTCACAACAATATTTTAATAAATAACAGTTCTCGACTAAAGTGAGAAGTAAAGAAAAGTCTAGCCAAAGAATAGCAAAATGAGCTACAAAATTAATTCCAGAAGCCAAAAAACTAAATAAAGCAGGTTCACAAAACAAAACCAATACATTTTCAATGAACACTATTTGGTTTATCTATAAATGTTCAAGTATTTAAAAAGTTGAGTGGTATTCCAACTTTCACTTATGACAACATTCTAAATAAATACCTAATTCCCAAAATAAATAATTCGTTTAAAGAGCTATATACAAAAATAAGAGAAGCAAGAGCTACAATGAAATGAACAGAAGCAATGATATGGTGCCTATGTGAAACACTAAATGTGGATATACAGAATATAGTATACAGGAGACTCAGAATGCACAAAGTAAGCCTAAATAATCCCAATGTATTCAATATCTATGAAACAAGGAATACAATTCCAATCAGCACTTGCTATAAAAATAGCCATAAGCTGGTTGCTTCTATTTTTTAAACGATGTAACAATGAGAGATTTGTTGTCACATATTTTGTAACTTACCAACACTGAGCTATTAAGTTCCTATTAGCTATATTTTAACAAAGGATTTGAGCTAGAAGACTGAAATCTGTTCATACAGCAGTGAAAACTAAGCCTCACTAAAGGCATTCAATATCCAGCTCAGGGCTCCTTTCCTTAATACATATTTGTGACTACAAATAGTGTTCACTACATGCAGTACACTGAACTAGCAACAGATTAGTTAAAAGCAGTTTAGATTTTCAACTTCCCATAATACCGGCAACATCTTTGGAAGCAATCACATTAAAACAAATGTCTTTCACAGTTACAGGATGAAATTTTAAGATGGACAAGTACCAATGCCCTGGTTTTCTACTTTTTTTATAAACCATATGACTCCCACATGCTGAAAATGTTTTATGCTTTAACCTGCAGTAAAGGCTTTACATCATTTTAATGCCCAGTGCTTAAAATGCAACAGAATTACCCACAACAAATGCTAGGAATATATTTGGCTTACATGTAATGATTGTGATCCTGCTGGTAGCCAGAAAAAAAGTTTAATGAATGCTTTTCCCAGTAAATAACTTTGCATTTCCATAGACAAAACAAAAGAAATTTTGAGGTAAGGATAGGTGGAATAGAAAACACTCATGTTTTTCCAATTCCAAATATTAACAAATATGTTGGTTTTTTATTTCTAAAATATTAAATATTTTTTTTAAATTTCGTGACTATTATAATGTTTCAGAAAAATAAAACAAAACACTCCGTTAAGTAGTTACATAGGATTTTTCTCCAGCTTTTGCAAAGTAATGTTTCAAGTTAAGATACAAGCTTAAAACAAATGATTCTGAAAATCCTGGTCTATCACAAACTAAAGGCTTAGTTTTGAATCAACATATGGTATATTCTACATCTGAGATTTAGAAACCATTTTTTTTCCTAGTCAGGTGAATTGAAATATACATGTTTCCCACTCTTACAGTCCCCCTTATCTGTGTGAATGACCAACAGCAAAACATTCAAATCAATGGTTATAAAATACACAGTCTATTTATGTGGTTTTCAGTTACCATAAAATCTAAAGATCCCTTACTAATGATAGGTGGCAGATTCAAGAATTGGTAAGTTTGGGGAATATATTCAATTCTTAACAGTCTAAATAGAAAATGATGCCAATTTCTTTATTTTAAAAATCTATTACACTAAAAAACCTGTCACATAAAAAGGGTTACTGAAGAACTTATAAGGAAGTACAAAATACGTGATCTTATATTCTGCTAGTATGTTATTAAAAACTGTGAGAAATAAGAGATGCGAGAATACTTTTTTTCACTCTAATTGAAATTTGAAAAAAATTTAGAATTCAAATTTCCCAACTTTGACTTAGAAACATAATTAAACTAGATCAAGCAACTTAGTTGTACAATTTTAAAGTAAGTTTTAATGCAAAGCACTGCAATCCTGATGTGATTAATTACCTGCGGCATAAATGCAAAATAACAAATGCATTTAATGATGCATTTTACGGTAAAACCACAAAAAGCACAACCACATTGGCAAACGAAATAAAAAGGCACAGGCGGTATTATGTTCATCAGAAAGAGAAACGTTGTACTAAGCCAAGAAAGAAAGGAAGGACTAAATGAAGGAAGAAAGGAAGGAAGGAAGGAGGGAGGGAGGGAGGGAAGGAAGGAAGGAGGGAGGGAGGGAGGGAAGGAAGGAAGGAAAGGGAAGGAAAAAATGAAGGAAGGAAGAGGGAAGCCTTCTACACCTGCAGGATCCCAGAGAAATGAACTAGTCATTTCATTCTATCCTATATGATACATGGGTGTTCTTTTTTTTCTTTTAAGCTTCAGCGTAAATAAAAACAGTAATGGCTTTATACCATTCAACTTTACATAGTGTTATCTTTAATGTCAACTGCATTCTTCCCTTCACTCACCCAATGCTTCTTCACTGTTCCATTCCACCAGCTTGCAGGCAAATGCATGACAGAACAGGGTGGAGTAGAAGAAAAATACAAGCAGCGCCTTTCAGCACACCCCCCCGCCCCGCAAATAATTTCCAACAGTTCTTCCTACTACAAAAATGAGTCGCCCTATCTCAAGATACACAACAGACATTCTGTTCCTTTAGTAGACAAACACAGACGCGTACACAACCCAGCACTCTCGACTCCCACCCCAGGCCCCCCGAATCTTCAACAATTATTCGTCTATTTCACACGAAGACAAGACACGTCTACCTACTGTTTCGGGGTGAAGGTGGGTGGAGGACGCCTTTCAAAGTAGCCCCAATAGTGTAACCAAAACACGGTTCCGGAATAAAATATTAAGAAACACTTTTCCTTTCCCACCTATCTACCGACTTGAGGATGCAAAAAATCCATCTCCACATCACACCATCGCTACAGTTCTCGTGGCTGGAGTTTGGGGTGGAGATTCGTCCAGGGAGGGGGCGGAGGCGGGTGGCGGAGTGTGAGCGGACGACGGGACACGAGCGAGTTGCTGAGCCCGGCTGCCCCGCACCACGTCGCCAGCCCAAACGCCCAGTACCAGGACCTCACGCCCGCCCCTTAGCCCAGGCCCAGAGCGAGCGAGTCCGCGCTGTCTAACTTCTCATCTACAGACACAGCTCTAAGACGAGGAGGGCACACAAGTACACGTCACACAGTTTAAAACACACTTACCCCAAACAAACCAACACACCTGCAAATCACCTCACAGTTTCCCGAACTCCACACCGGAGACCCCACCTCCAGGATTCAAACCTTCCGCTCATAGTGGAGGAAACCAGGAGGAAAGACTTGGGGGCAGTCGACGCCTTTCCAGGACCGGCCCCCACGAACTGCCCCACCCCACAGCCCGCGTCCGGGTCATCCACTCGGAAGCCCCCAGCTTCCTCCCTCCTCTCAATCCGGCCGCTTACGAGACCCATCCCCAGCGTCCGCTCACTTCCTCCCCAAAACCCCTTTAAAAAAAAAATTGTTTTAAGTGAAGAGAAAGAAGTGAAGAAAGAGACTTGAGGTAGTCCGGCTTCCAAACCGCTCGACTCACCTCAGAATCCTCGCTGAGTTCTCTCCGCCCGGCAAAGCCCCCTCCCCAACGTCCCAGTACGGAAGGCTGAGGTAGGGAGGAGGGAAAGCAGAAGGGGGAGGGGTGTCTTCCGCGTGGGGCGCCCGTCGGGAGGGGACTGGGGAGGGGTTGAGGCCGGCGCAGGAAGAGGAGAAGGGGGAGGGGAGGCCCCTATCTCCCAGTCTCCCCCTGAAAACCTTCCTTGTCTCAATCACATCAGACTGACTGTCTTTGTCTGGCTGACAACCGCCATATTGATATCAACAGCCCCGCTCCCACCTGCTGCCGCCGTGCGTTCCTGGGAGTTGTAGTTCCTGCCTCCCCTGAGTAAAACCCGGGAGCCTGGAGCCTAGAGGCCATAGAGAACTACAACTCCCGGCAAGTTCCGCGCTCATCCGCCTGCTCTTTGGGAGGAGAGGAAGGGGGGTCGGAGCCATCAGGACTACACATCCCAGAACACCATGGGCCCCAGGCCTGTACGGGGGACATGATATCATGCTGGGGTGGAGAGGGAGGATGCATTGGCGGCGGGGATGAATTTGAGCTGACGGAAGGAGGCGTTCGAGAGGAAGGAGAGAAAAAGGAAAGGCGACCACAGTTCCCATGATGCCTGGGAGAATACATTTCCCATGATTCCCCTGGAAAAGACGTGAGGATGAAAGACTGCAAGTCCCGCGATGCTCTCGGCGGGCAGGTGACGGAGATTGCACCGGAAGACGCTTCCGGGGTTTGAGGAGTTCGGTGACTGCTATTGAACCACCAAAAGTCCATTATGAAACTGGTGAGTCTTCGCTCCTAGGTTAGAGGACAAAGGTGATGCTATATCCTTTGGACCTCTTTTTTTCTACGTTGGGCAGGGAGCCGTCCCACAGGATGGGTGGCAATTAGGAAGCTGAAAAGTGGAGTGGGCTAAGGAAAGCTGCTTTTTGTTGTTGAGAAGGGTTGAATTCCCCCTCCCGTCCCCGCTATCTCCGCCAGGCGGTCTTTTTGCACTCATTGGTGGTTGCTTTTGTTCAGACAAGACGTTGGCTCTGTCACAGTGCTTTCCCGATGAACTCTGGGCTTGGTTAACCAGGTTTGGACTTCCTAGCTCCCACGTGTGTTGGCGTCCGGCACGTCTGCCGGGGGGCTACCGACCTGCGGGAGTCCCCGAGACCGCCAACGTAGATGTCTCGTTCAACCTGAGGGAGAGAGTGCGCGGAAGTGAAAGAAAAAAGAAAAGCGGAGTCTGGAGGGCTGGCTTAGGCTATGTCCAAGCAGCAATTTTATTTTTGCAATATGTTCCATTATATACTTTGTTGAAGTTAATGTTGTTTACGCCAGATCAACATACTTAAGTTACAGTAAGCAAGTTACGCCCAGTAAGTAAGTTAAGCCCAGTAAGTCAGTTACGCCCAGTAAGTTACGGTAAGTAAGTTACGCCCAGTAAGTACTTAACAATTGTAAATACTTAAGTTAAATCACAAGGTAAGTTACAGTTACGCCCAGTAAGTTATGGTAAGTTACCAAGTGTAAATACTTAAGTTAATATTTTACAATGAAGGTAACAAGGGTCCAAAATGAACACAATCAAGCAATAAACCATAAGGAGCCGAAAGTAGACACAGTGCCTCCCAAGTCCATATCCATAAAGTAATGTCTGTTAATTATTTTGAATAGCATAGTCCCTCTCTCGGTTCCTGCTTTCCCTCAGCTCGACTCCCCCAACCGGGGATCTGTGTCCGAGCTCAAGCTCACCCATTTCCTAGGGGCCTCACACGGGAGCAATCCCCACAGATCCCTCACACGTGAATGTTATAATAGGCTGTTAACAACCCCTTTCCACTCGATTGGCACCTGAGTAGCCTGTCTTCCCTACGTTGCTGAGACTTTGGCTGGATATAAGCAGAGAGTAAAAAACATTCGGCAGAACGTAATCACTTATTAAATATCCTGTTATATGGACTCCTAACTGCCCTTGAAATTCAGAAGGGACGAGGTCAGAGTGTGGAGAAGTTGAGTCTTTAACCCTGCATGAGATTTAGATGGGCAGAGAAGTGTTACCGTATTTTATTCTAAGGGTGCATGAGCCAAGGCTGGATGAAGCGTGTCTGTATAGCTGAAGTCTTAGCATCACACAGCTCAAGCACTTGGCTCGTGGGAAAGCTTCTTAGACCTTTGATTTTAGCCATTTGACTGATTGTGCGCACAGGTCTAACTAATTTATTCCAACTCTATTCAATTAGTAATAGAACAGAGTAGAAAAGCAGATGTGAAATACTGTCTAAACCCTTTAAAACCCATACTCGTGCAGCCAAGTTGTTGTCAACCTTTAATTGAGGCAGGAGAATCACTTGAACCCGGGAGGCAGAGGTTGCAGTGAGCCAAGATTGTCCCACTGCACTTCAGCCTGGCAACAGTGAAACTCCATCTCAAAAAAAAAAGGGATGTTTTTTTCCCCCCATTTATATAATTATTTGAATATGCTTTTCCAAACCACACAACCCACCTATCCTCATCTTGATAATCGTTGTGCTGAAGACATGTACTCTGCAAAGCCAGCTGTTTTCTGAGAAGTCAAAATATTAAAAGTGGATTCGGTTCTGAAACTGTCTCCATATAAAGCTATTTATATAAGAGGAAGGATGAAGTCATAGCAGTTTTCCTATAGAAGCATATAACCTAAGAAGATAGAAAAGTAAACCAAAGTTATTATTTATTTATTTAGAGACAGGGTCTGGCTCTGTGGCCCAGACTGGAGTGCAGTGGCATGATCTCAGCTCACTGCAATCTCCACCTTTCCGGCTCAAGCCATCCTTTTGCCTCAGTTTCCCCATGCATTTGGGAATACAGACACGTACTGCAGCACCATGCCAATTTTTTTGTAGAGATAGGGCTTCATCATGTTGCCCAGGCTGGTCTCGAACTCCTGGGCTCAAGCTGTCTGCCTGCCTTGGCTGCCCAAAATGCTGGGATTACAGGCATGAGCCACTGCACCTGGCCCAAAATTATAATTCGCTGTGTTCATGGTAAAATACAGGTGTGTTTAGGGTTTTGGGAATTGAGAGAAAAGAAGATTGGGGAGGTCAGGGGACAGCTTCCTGGAAAGGTGACTCTTGAACTGATGAGGATAAGTAAGCCAGGGCCTTCCATGAAAAGAGGTCAGCTTATAGGAGCCTAAGAGCTTGGTAACTTATTAACTAGTACACGGACCCTGTGTTCCCAGTAAGGAACAAATTATATTTGGTGTGTTTGGTTTAAGAAAGCAGAGAAGTGTGAACTAGTTTTCCCTTAACAACTCATTAGTGAGGGGGTCAGAAAGCCAGGGTCTACATCACATATCCTTTGCTCATAAAATCCTCCTGCTTGATTTATTTAGAAATATGAAACCAGGGAAAAGAAAAGTGAAAAAAAGTGGAAAATTACTTTTTTCCATTAAGAATCAAAGATGTCTCAGAGGAAAAGGACGTATTCTATTGATATTCATACTCCCTGTTTACTTTGCAACTGTGTATTACATACTAAAACTTACTTGGTAGTTGATAGATAAATGTAATTGAGAATTCCCATCAACATACCAAAAGCATTGTTGCTCAGTAAGTTAGATTGGTGTGGCGTGCCTCCCAAGTGGTTAGAATAAGTCCTTTCATGGCCTGAAATTTTTAATTTCGTTCACTACTTCAGGAATATGTGACAGGCTGTGTTTTAAATTTATAATTATGAAACAAAAATACATTTTGTCTACTATTTTCTTGTTTTTGAGATTGACTTTCCAGAGTACCCTTCCCACACACAATCTACGACCACCTCTTATTGATCCTACTTGCTGAATGAAGCTCTTAAATAGGTTCTGTTTCTCTCCAGTCCAACCAGAATAGTGTCTCTGTAATAGGCTCTTTGCGCTTAAAATTCAGCTAGACCCCTTATCTGGTCTCCCTGCATTCAGTCTTAACCTTCATTCATTCATGCCTTTGATCCAGAAGTTGTTTTAAATTGAGGTTCCATGAAACCCTTTCATTATCTTTCTTTGCCCTTAGGATAACTTCTTAGGCTTAACTTGTTTGAATAAGTTCCATTACCTGCCTCACTCTTTTTTGCCTGGCTAATTTCTTTGTATGTTTCAGGACTCTGTCTAAATAACACTTCTTCAGGGCTTCCTTGAATTAAGTACCCCTGTCATATGCTTGATGGTATACTTCCTATTTGTAGCACTAATGTGCTGTCCTCCCTCATGTAGATTCTGTTCCCTGAGCCTGCACATAGAGTAACCAGTGACCCTACTAAATGGTAATTCAGTAAATAATTTCTGATGACTGCCGGGTGCGGTGGCTCATGCCTGTAATCCCAACACTTTGGGAGGCCGAGGCAGGTGGATCACGAGGTCAGGAGTTCAAGACCAGCCTGGCCAATATGGTGAAACCCCATCTCTACTAAAAATACAAAAAATTAGCCAGGCATGGTGGCAGGTGCCTGTAATCTCAGCTACTTGGGAGGCTAGGCAGGAGAATTGCTTGAATCTGGGAGGTGAAGCTTGCAGTGAGCCGAAATCACGCCACTGCACTCCAGCCTGGGCAACAGAGCGAGACTGCATCTCAAAAAATAATAATAGTAATTTCTGAAGGTCTATGAGAAAAGTGAGTGAAATTAAAAAGATTACAAATAAGCAGTAACCATTGAAGTAAAAAAGGAATGATTGCTACCTTTTATAAAGCAATTATTGCGTGCCAGGCAATGTACTAAGTATTTGCTACATAGTTTCCCATTTAATCCTTTAATTCAGGTGGCAGTATTCCCATTTTACACACAAAAAATGTGAGCTTCAGGGAGGGGAAGTAAGTGGCTCAAAGTTAGCAAAAATTAAAAATGGTAGAGCCAAGATCTAAACCCAGTTCTCCCTGTTATTTGGTGAGGATAGGAAATCTAGCACCCTGCACCATACCTACGTTAGCACTTAAAAACAGAAGGTAGAGTGCATACCGAAAATGTATTTAAGGTTATTTTAAAAATTAGCTTTAAATGCCAGTGTGGTTCAATTAAGATCTTCAGGCCAGGTGCAGTGGTTCATGACTGTAATCCCAGCACTTTGGGAGGCAGAGCCGGGCGAATGGCTTGAGATCAGCAGCACTAGACCAGCCTGGGCAACCTGGCAAAACCTATCTTCACAAAAGACAAAAAATTTGCTGAGCATGGTGGCAGGTGCTTGTGTTCCCAGCTATTTGGAGGGCTGAGGCAGGAGGGTCACTTGCACCCAGGAGGTCAAGGCAGCAGTGAGCCATGATGGCACCACTGCATTCCAGCCTGGGTGACAAAGTGAGACCCTATCTGAAAAACTAAAGACCAAAAAAAATTTTTTTAAGATTATTGGCTAAAAAAAGTTTGTTTGTTTGTTTTTTTTAAGTTTGGGGAACTTTCTTCATGAGCTAAAGGCCCCCATATCAGAGCATACCAATTTGGCGCTGAAGTTCTTTTTTTTAATATTCCAAATTTAGCTTCTGTGATACCATTTATAATTCTCTAACTTTGCACATCACCTTCTTGGTGGCTTTTCATACACCCACATGAAAACAATGGATGTCATTATAATGTAATACTTGGGTATCTCCTTCCTAGATACCACCTCAAAGGATTTCAATGGCCTTCTATATTTATAATATTCAGTATTCAGGCAGCTTTATTTAACTGAAGAAAATTCATTGGCATTTTCAATTAACCAGAATGATTTTAGAAAGCAGAGGAAAATTAGAAAGGTATCTTTTAAATTAGCACATTTTAGAGCATGTTCTGTTATTTGTATAGATTGAG